GGCTTGAACTCACAATCCCAAGATCAAGAGTCCCATGCTCTACAAACCAAGCCAGTCAGGTGCCCCTTGTCTACTTAGCCTTAAATTTTAGTTATTTCATTTCTCAGTTCTAGAATTCAATTTGCTTTTATCTTTACAGTTTCTAGTTCTCTAATAAAATGCACCCATATTGTTCACTCATAGTTACAGTAAATGTTTGTCTCTGATCTTCCCAAAACCTGTATCTTCCATGAGTGTGTTTTCATTATCTATTTTCCTTTTGATATTTGGTCATGCAGTCGTGTCTCTTGGTATACTTGGTAATTTTTGTGCATTTTAATTTGAAGAAGTAATTTGAGGCTCAGAATAGTGTTATTTTCCTTCAGAGAAGATACACATTTGCTTCTGGCAAATTCTGACAGGGGCAGATCACTTTCATCTAAGCAGGGATTAAGCGGATTAGAAGCTGAGTTTCAATCTTTATACAGGCTGATCTATACCCACCATACTCCTTCTAGATTGAAACTCTTAGGGAGTCCCAATGAAAAGTCTGGGGTATTTACCAAGGCCCTTCATGCTGATGGGTCCTGGACTCCAGTTTTTGTCCCTTCAGTCTTGTAAAATTGCTGGGATCTCAGCTAGCCTCTTCTCAGTCATTGCTTTCAGCTCAGCTTCTTAACCACTGCTTGCAACTTAGCAAATGCTTTGAGGGAAAAAGCAATGCTAAATGTCAGGCTCATCTCTTTATGCTTCCCTTGTCTATGATTCTAAGCTTCTTAAGTCCTTACTGCCTTGGCAGCTTCTGATACCTTCAAGCAGCTGTTTTTTATATTTGGTCTAACTTTTCAGGTTGTTCTCAGAGGGATGGGTGGTGTTTAATAAGCTGGTCCATTAATTTCCGAAGCATAAATCCCCAGGTTTATTATAATCTTAGGGTCTGTTATGGATTGCATTGTGCATTTCTCCTCCAACCCCCCAAGATATGTTGAAGTCCTAACCACCAGTACCTTGGGATGTGATCTTATTTGGAAATACATAGGTAATCTAGTTAGAATGAGGTCCTAATCCAACATGACTGGAACCCTCATTAAAAAAAAAAAGGAGATTTGAACATAGTCACAGACACACACAGTGGGAAGATGATGTGAAGACACAAAGGGAGAAGACAGCCATGTAACTGGAGTGATTCATCTACAAGCCAAGGAATGCCTGGAGCTACCAAAAGTTAGGAGAAAGGCATGGAACAGTTTCTGGAGCCTTTAGAGCATGGCTCTGCTGACACCTTGATTTTGACTTCTGACCTCCAGAACTATAAGACAATACCTTTGTGTTGTTTTAAGCCACTCAGTTTATGGAACTTCAATATAGCAGCTCTAGGAAACTAACACAGGGCCTTTTTACTTTCAGGTATGGGATGGTTACTTTCATGTACCAACTTGCTGGGTCATGGGGTGCCCAGATATATGATTAAACACTATTTCTGGCTATGTCTGTGAGGGTGTTTCTGGATGAGATTAACATTTTAATCAGTCAACTGAGGAAAGCAGATTGCTTTCTTCAGTGTGGGTGGGCATCATCCAATCTGTTGAGGGTTTGAATAGAAGAAACAGGCTGAGGAAGGTTAAATTCGCTCTCTTTACCTGTTTGAATTGGGACATCAGTTTTCTCCTGCTTTCAAACTAGGACTTACACCATCAGCACTCCTAATTAACGGCTTTGACCTGAACTTACACCATTGGTTTCCTGGTTCTCAGGTCTTTGGTCTGAAGACTGGAATTACACCACCAGCATTCTAGGGTCCCCAGCTTGCAGATGGCAGATCGTGGGAGTTCCTGGCCTCCATAATTGTGTACGCCAATTCCTTATAATAAATCTGTATCTATATAGCTACCTCTCCACTCTATTGATTGTTTCTCTGGAGAACTTTGACTGTATTAGTTAATACAAGGTCCTACTGCTTTAGAATGGTCTTTCCCTAGATCTTTACATGAGTGCCTCCTATTCAAATGTTACCTTTCAGAGAAGTCTCCCCTAATTTTCTGAAATGACTTCCTCTCCCTGAGTTATTCTCTATTATCTCATTGAATTTTATATACAACACTTACCATCTAAAACAATTTTATTTGGTTACATGCTTACTCTCTATCTTTTCTATCACTCTTCCCACCAGCTCCAACCAGAAAAGAGAGTCCTTGAGGGCAGGAACTTATGCCAGTTCACCACTGTCCTTTCAGGGCCTAGAATAGTAGGTGGCACTTTGTAGGAACTCACATATTTGTTGACAGGCGATGGACTGCTTCCCTGTGTCCTAGGCAACAGAGTGCATTATCAAACTTTTTGATCTTTGTTAAATTTTTAGGTAAAAAATGGTGCCTTATTTGTAGTTTTAACATACATGAGACTGAGTAATTTTTTATAGGTTTGGAAGCTATTCATATTTTCTGTTTTGTGAAATAAATATTCTGTTGCTTGCCTATTTTTCTAAAGGGTTATTGATCTTTTCTTCTTGATTTATTTGAAGGAGCTCTTTCCATACCAAGGAAATTAGTCCTCTGACATGGTTTGCAGATGTTTTCCCTTAATTTATAGCTTTGCTTAAGGTATTTTTTTTGCAATGCAGAAAATGTTTGTATAGATGAGTTTACTGATTTTTCTTTATGGGTTCTTACTTTTATTCTCATGTGGCCTTTTCTCTTTTCTCAGTGGCTGAAAGATAACAAGACTGGAGTAATTCCCTTGGATCTAAAGATGGGCATCATATGGTGAAGATGGCAGAGCTGCTCTACCAGCCCTGGACCCCTTGGCTGTTACCCACGAGAGACATAAACTTCTGTCCTGTTTAAGTCATTGTATATTTGGGTATCTGCTTCAGCAGCTTATTGTATATGCTCTAACTAAAACACCAAACCATCACAACCTGAGGAACTGGTTTATTTCAGATGAACAAGTCCTACCTTAAATTACAAAATAATTAGTTTTTTTTGTAATAGACTCAGTGTATTTATTTATTTTAAAGATTTTATTTATTTGACAGAGAGAGACACAGCGAGAGAGGGAACACAAGCAGGGGGAGTGGGAGAGGGAGAAGCAGGCTTCCCGTGGAGCAGGGAGCCTGATGCGGGGCTCGATCCCAGGACCCTGTGATCATGACCTGAGCCGAAGGCAGACACTTAACAACCGAGCCACCCAGGCACCCCGACTCAGTGTATTTAATTAGCAGTTATGCTTTACTCTAAACTGGTTATATGTTTTCTTTTATTAAAATTCAAAGACTGGTCATCTTTAGAAAATTATGACTAGAACTCTATTTAGTAAAGGTTTCAATATAAAAGCCACAGCAGCAATTAAAGTAGAAAGAGAAGGTAGGATGCTTTATTATATCAGTTAATCCTCAAAACTTCTAGAGAAAGGAATTATTATACTCTTAGCTTGGATGAAGAAACTGAGTTTTAGAAAGTCAGGAGAACTGCCTAAGGTCTTACAGTTAATAAGCAGCGTATCTGGGACTCAAACATAGGTCACTATGATGACATACACACGTTCACTGCACTATCCTTCCTTTAGGGAAGATTTAATGCAATTATTATCTTTTTAAAGATTTTTAAAATTTATTTATTTGTCAGAGAGAGACACAATGAGAGAGAGAGAGAGAGAGCGCACAAGCAGGGGGAGTGGCAGGCAGAGGGAGAAGCAGGCTCCTCGCTGAGCAAGGAGCCTGATGCAGGACTCGATCCCAGGACCCTGGGATCATGACTTGAGCTGAAGGTAGGCGCTTAACCGACTGAGTCACCCAGGTGTCCCCTTGATGCAATTATTGCTGCTCCAAGTTAGACTGTTTTAGAGGTCTATTTTCATTAAAGGCTTAAAACCTATAAAATGTATATATGTATTTATGTTATATCTTAGCTGAGTAGATGAATCAATATAACAAAATATAGCCACACACAACATAGTGCTATCCATTCATTCAAAAAGCAGAGAAAGAAAGTTAAAAATACAACTTCTTATCTGATAAAGAAGAACACAAGACTGGAATGGAAAAGAACAAGGCAAGGGACTCCTGCTTTTCATTTTAAGTCCTTCCCTTAATCTTTGAACATGTATATGTATTATATTGGTAATTTAAAAAAATGTATATAAGATAGAGGGGCGCCTGGATGGCTCAGTCGTTAAGCGTCTGCCTTTGGCTCAGGTCATGATCTCAGGATCCTGGGATCGAGCCCCGCGTCGGGCTCCCTGCTCAGCGGGGAATATGCTTCTCCCTCTCCTTCTACCTGCCGCTCCCCCTGCTTGTGCTCTCTCTGTGTCAAATAAATAAATAAAAATCTTTAAAAAAATGTATATAAGATGTAACATACAGGTTACATTTAAAGGCAACAGTTTCATTCACCTATAGTGGTAACAAATGGATTTCCTCTTTTTCACCCCCCAAAAAGTAGGATCACGTATTTCTATATATATTAAGTTGATCACCTGAGATTACCATCTTTGTAGATTACTGGGAACATGCCTCAACCTAATGTGGAAAGGAAATGATATAAAAAACAAAACAGGGCCTTGGAATTAGAAAGATTCATGTGAGTCCCCACTTTGCCATTTCCTAGCTATGTGAATTTGGGCAAGTGATAACTTCTCTAAACCTCAGTTTTCCTGAAATTGCCAAAAGATAACACCCATTTTCATGGTTGTTGTTAAACGTAATATATGTAAGGTCCCTAAAATAATGCCTAGCAATGAGAAATTTAATGAATGGCAGGATAAAGATAGAGCCCCCCCAAATAATACAAATAGGGTCAACACTTAAAGGTAGTGATAGTGACATAAGGTCCTTGAGTAATAGTTTATGACTTCACATTTTCTTAAGTCCTATTTGTCACAGTAATTCAAATTATTGCTGCAAGTGTGAAGTGGCATTACATATAACACTTCTAATGATGAAGTAGAGCTAAATAAAGTGAGTCAGGGACTATGGAACTAATTACGGGTTCTGAAAGGGGAGACGTAATCAGCTACTTTTGTACCTTCCTCACAGATACTCTGTAGATACAAGGATCCAGGATGCCTGTGGTGGCACTTGCACTCATTTTGCACATAAATGAGAACTTCTTCCTCCAGTGAACACAGTTTGCTTGCACCACTTCCCTGAATGGGGGAAAAAAAAAAAAAGAGAAACAATTACTACTGATGACAGGTCAAAAAAGCATACACACTCTTTCACTCAGGTCTCTAATGCAGAAGTGATAGATTAAAAGCCAGTATTTGGAAACATGAAGAAAACAAACTTCTAACAATGTGGTCTGAAAATCTCTAGAAGCTTTTAATTATCCACAGAAACTTAAATTTAAAAAAAAAGTGAAATTACATATCAATTGAATCAACGTAAATCGAAGCTTCACTACTCATTCATTCAGCACATAATACATGTTTATTTTTGGTGTGCGGGTTGTGTGCTAGGTGTCCGAGATACGAAGACGAGGACGACGGTGTTCCTAACCTTGTAGGGCCTGTGGTTTAGTCAGTACCAGAGACAGAACTGTGAACAAATACGTGTTCTGAAATGGACTCCTGCTATCGCTCTACTCCTGTTCCTGCCATAACAGCAACAACAGCTGCCATTTGCTGTCAGCTTACCACATGCTATTCAATCTCACAGCAACCCCAGGAGGTTTATAGATAAGAAAGATGAAGCACAAGGAGAAAAGTTAACTCAAGGTCATTTAGGCAGGAAGTCGCGGCACTAGCTTTCAAACCAGGCCCGTTTAACTCAACAGCCTACTTGTCCATAAAGGAAAATCTGTATTTTCCCCACCACCTCTGCTCTTTCAAGCTTCCAGGCCTTTGTACCTGCTGTTCCCTCTACTGTTTTGTATAAGTGTAGGGGGCTTGGCCTTAAAACAGAAGGATAATTATTCCTCTAACATGGGAAGAAAAGAAAGACAATGGGTGAAAATAAAGAGAAAACTGGAGAAACCAAAAGGGAAAGGCAAGAAAGCCCAGGCTGAATAGTTTTTGATTTTCTTAGGAAAGTAAAAGGTGAGGTTCGTTCTTTTTTTTTTTTTTTTTTAATATTTTATTTATTTGCCAGAGAGAGAGAGAGTGAGAGAGTGTGAGAGTACAAGCAGGGGGAGTGGCAGGCAGGGAGCCCAATGTGGGGCTCGATCCCAGGACTCTGGGATCATGACCCGAGCCGTAGGCAGATGCTCAACCGACTGAGCCAGCCCCTGTCATTCTATAGAAATAACCTCACCTTGGGACGCCTGGGTGGCTCAGTTGTTAAGCATCTGCCTTCGGCTCAGGTCATGATCCCAGGGTCCTAGGATCGAGCCCCACATGGGGCTCCCTGCTCAGCGGGGAGCCTGCTTCTCCCTCTCCTACTCCCTCTGCTTGTGTTCCCTCTCTTGCTGTGTTTCTCTCTGTCAAATAAATAAATAAAATCTTAAAAAAAAAAAAGATTTATTTCAGAGAGAGAACACGTTGGGGGGGAGGAGGGGTAGAGGGAGAAAATCTCAAGCAGACTCCCAGCTGAGTGTGGAGCCCCTCCTGGGCTAGAACCCATGAGATCACGACCTGAGCCAAAATCAAGAGATGGAAGCTCAATGAACTGACCCACCCAGGCACCCCTAGAATGTATGTGTTCTTAGAGGAGTTTCCTGGAAATCCAGCAGGAGTGCAATTTATTTGTATGGTCACAACACAGGCAGAATGAGTTCTTTGGCAAAGAATGGATCTGGAGGTATTTATCAGGCAACATGAGGCATCCCCAGCAAGATAGGCACGAGCTAACATGCATACTTAAAAATAAATGAATTTTTGAAAAAAACAGTGAATAATAATGAAAATAACAAAGAGGAAAAAATAAAATTAGAATTTTTTAAAATGTTTCCCTATCAACATCTCAGGGCCTCAAGACTTGATGGAGGCATCAGTCATGGCCTCTGGAGCTCCTAAAAAGGGTGTGCAAGTATACTGAAGGGCTACCCTTCAGGAGCACCCTGTGCTTCCAAGCACTTCGTTGCTTCTGTCACTGAGATCACTGACCTTTGATCAGGAATCAGACATTTAAAACAAAAACAAAAACCAAAAAAACCCCTATATTTTACTTCAAAAAAAATTACATAAAAACTTCTAGTTAAAGATTGCAGGTTGAGAGCATGTATTAACTTACCTCTGCTCTCCCAAACATTCTATTTAATTTTTAAGGCATCATCTAGCAAGGACAAAGAGAACCAGAGAGGAGACAAAAATAAATGGCCAGGGATTAACAAGTGATAATGATTTAGCAAATCAAAGAAAGCTGAACATTAAGCTGGTAATGGTGAAAGCCAAGAGCAGGTATCTTAAATTAGCATTAAGTGGAACAAAGGAGGGACAAATGGCAGAAGAACTGATTGAAAACTCTTTTAGAAAGAGGCCCTCAGATCTTCCTGACTCCTGCAGAAGATTTATTCTCCTGATGAGGTACAACAGAAGGATCTCTGTGTTACATGACCTGAGGGCAGGTATTGAAAATAGAATGACCATACTGGGTGGGGGGGCAGGGTGGACCCAGGATGAAAGATGGACTTACTGAATGCTAAGACTTCCAACCTTCTTCCCCTAATCTGGCTTCTCAGGATATATTCTTTAAGAAGACGTAAGAAGAACATTCTCTGCGGAATTCAACCAGACCCCCCAAAAATGCTCTAATGAGATGAATGTTGTAGGTTACAAAATGACTCTGCCAGCTCAATCTACAGTAAAAACCTGAATCAATGAACACTCTCTACATGCACAAAGCCTCTAAGCAACTTTAACTGCCTCACAGTTAAATATGAGCAAACACTTGAAGAATGTCTCTTAATATGAACAAACAGACCAGAATGAATAGCAAAAAGGCAAATTTTAAAAGAACAGAGTCTATGCTGGAAGAAGAAAAAAAGATTCTCAGAGAGACAGAAATTGCATCTACCATAAAGGAATAGGATGCTATAAAACAGAACATATAAGGAACTAAAAAGTACTCACAGAAATAAAAAAACATGGGCTTGATATTCTTATTTTTTTAAAGATTTTATCCATTTATTTGAGAGAGAGAGACACAGAGCAAGAGCGAGCACAAGCAGGGGGAGGTGCAAAGGGAGAGGGAGAAGCAGGCTCCCCATTGAGCAGGGAGCCTGATGCGGGGCTCAATCCCAGGACCCTGGGATCATGACCCGAGCTGAAGCCACCCAGGTGCCCCAAGAGTTGACTTTTTGAAAAAAAATAAACAAAATCAAGGAATTCATAGCTAGCCTAAGAAAAAAAGAGTGAAGACCATAAGAAATGAAAAAAGAGACACGGGGCGCCTGGGTGGCTCAGCTGGTTAAGCGACTGCCTTTGTTTTACTGTTTTAGGTCTTATGTGTAAGTTTTTAAATCCATTTTGTGTTAATTCCTGTATATAGTATAAGAGTCCAATTTCATTCTTCTATTGTGAATAACTAGGTCATGATCCTGGAGTCCTGGGATCGGGTCCCTTATTGGGCTCCCTGATCAGCAGGGAGTCTGCTTCTCCCTCTGACCCTCCCCCCTCTCATGCTCTATCTCATTTTCTCTCTCAAATAAATAAATAAAATCTTTAAAAAAAGGAAAAAAGAGACATTTAAAACCGATGCTTCAGAAATAAAAAGAATCATAAGGGACTATTATTAAGTTATATGCTAACAAACTAGATAATCTAGAAGAAATCAATAAATTCCTAGAAACATACACCTTGCTAAAACTGAATCAAGAAGAAACAGAAAACTTGAACAGATCAAAAACAAATAAGGAGACTGAATCAATAATCAAAAACTTTTGAACAACCACCCCCACAAAAAGCCCGGGACCAGATAGTTCTTAGGAGAATTCTATCAAACACTCAAAGGAAAATTTTTACCAATCCTTCTTAAACTCTTCCAAAAGATAGGGGAGTCTGCTTCTCCCTCTGTCTGCCACTCTCCCTGCTTGTTCTCTCTCTCTCTTTCTCTCTGTCAAATAAAAAAATTAAATCTTAAAAAAAAAACAAACACATGATCATCTGAATAGATTAAATTTGGCACGCTTTTTCTGCAGCATCCACTCATGATAAAGACTTTCAACAAAACTGGTAGAGCAGCAACTTACCTCAATACAGTAAAGACCATATATGAAAAGCCCACAGCTAACATCATAATCAGTAAGGAAAACCTGAAAGCTCTTCCTCTAAGATCTAGTGCAATACAAGGATGCCCTCTCTCACCACTTCTGGAATATAGTACTGGAAATCCTAGCCAGAGCAATTAGTCAAGAAAAGAAATAAAAGCATCCAAATCAGAAAGAAAGAAGTAACATTAGCTCTATTTGCAGACAATATGATCATATATATATAAAGTCCTAAAGACCACCCCCCAAAAAAAAACTGTCAGAATAAACAGATTCAGTAAAGTTGCAGGATACAAAATCAAAATAAGAAAAAAAAATCTGTGGTGTTTCTATACATGAACAATGAACTACCTGAAAAAGAAATTAAGGAAACAATCCCATTCACAATAGCAACAAAAAGAATAAAATACCTAGAAATAAATTTAATCAAAGAGGTGAAAGACTTGTACACTGAAAACTATAAAACACTGATGAAGGAAAGTAATGAAGATACAAACAAATGGGAAGGCATCCTATGGATTGGAAGAATTAATATTGTTAAAAGGTCCATACTACCCAAAGTGATATACAGATTTAATGCAATCCCTATCAAAATCCCAATGGGATTCTTTACAGAACTAGAAAAAAACAATCCCCAAATTCCTGTGTAACCACGAAGACCCCAAAGCAATCTTGAGGAAGAAGAACAAGGCTGGAGGCATCACACTTTCTGATTTCAGAATGTATTACAAAGTCACAGCAATAAAAACAGTATGGTATTGGGAAAAAAACCCCTCAGAAATATAGACCAGTGAAACAGAATAGAGAGCTCAGGAATAATTCCACCCACTTACACTCAACTGATCTTTGATTAAGAGTGCCAAGAAAACATAATGGAAAAAGGACAGTGGTGCTAGGAAAACTGGTTATTCACAATAGAAGAATGAAATTGGACTCTTATACTATATACAGAAATCAACACAAAATGGATTTAAAAACTTACACATAAGACCTAAAACAGTA